TGGCCTTTTGGGAACTTCTAGGATCGGATTTGAAGTTTATGAATTCTTATATGCAACATCTCAAGTTATAAATATTATAATAATAAATAGGTTTATATATATATCTTTGGTTAAAGTCTGGTATTTTTACTAATGATGAATTACTGACATTAATAATTAAACAGGTATTAGCAAGCAAAAGCAAGATTTACATGGTGCTGGAATACGTGAATGGTGGTGAATTATTTGACAGAATTGTAAGTAACTTTGGTAATAAACTTGTGTTTTTGCATATTACCATCTCAAATCTTGAATTCTAACTTGACTATAATCCTAATTAATTAAATAATTAATTAATAGGCTTCCAAAGGAAAACTCAAAGAGGCACAGGGTAGGAAACTCTTTCAACAATTGATTGATGGCGTTAGTTACTGTCACGATAAAGGTGTCTTCCACAGAGACCTCAAGGTAACTATTGAGGATTTAATATATATATANTTGTATAAGTATTTTTTACACGTGTGTTATTTTGAAATGCAGCTAGAGAACGTCCTCATTGATTCAAAAGGGAACATAAAAATAACGGACTTTGGGCTTAGTGCTTTACCTCAACAATTTTGGGTACGTATGAAGCTTCATCCAGAACATCTGTCTGCTCTGATACTATATTGAAATGTGTGGCTATTTTATAAACTGTTAAAGAAACACACTTTTATTTATTTAATTATATATTTTAATCACTAATTTTATTCGTCAAGCTTAATGAGATTTCTTTGCTTATTTATAGTCTGATGGTTTATTGCATACAACGTGCGGTAGTCCCAACTATGTTGCTCCTGAAATTCTATCTAACAGAGGATATGATGGCGCGACATCAGATACTTGGTCATGTGGTGTCATCTTATATGTAATTCTCACCGGTCAATTACCCTTTGATGATAAAAATTTAGCAATACTTTATAAAAAGGTAAAAGAAATTTCTTGTACTTTTTCCCTTTGTGTATGATATTCCATGCTCTATATGCCCTCTAGAGATAAAATAGTTTATAACTATATATCTTTTTTATATGAAATCAGATATTTAAGGGGGATGTTCATATACCGAAGTGGCTATCCTTAGGAGCAAAAAACCTTTTAAAGAGGATTCTTGATCCCAATCCACGTACTCGTATAACAATGGCAGAAATCAAAATAAACGAATGGTTCAAACAAGATTATGTTCCAGCAAATCCTTATGAAGAAGATTTGGAATGTGATCATATATCAACAGATAATCAAGTCTTAACAGTACAAGAATCAGCAGTACGTACTTTCATTTTATGTGACGCACTTTCCTTTTTAGCAGCAGTATGTATTTTGCATTTTATATAAGGGTCATGGGTTCGAGCCACAGAATCAGCCACTGATACTTGTATCAAGGTAGGCTGTCTACATCACATCCCCTTGGGGTGCGGCTCTTTCCCGAACGCGAGATGCATCAAGGTAGGCTGCCCACATCACACCCTACATTTTTGCAAGAGATTGTTTCTACGGCTCGAATCTGTGACCTCCTTCTGGTCATATGACAATAACTTTACCGATTACTTCGAGACTCTCCTTCTAATAAGATGATTTATAACGGCACAAATATTTATGACTTGTTTTACAGCCAGTTGACACGCAAAGAGATCCGGAATCACATTCCCTTATCAATGCCTTTCAACTAATAGGGATGTCATCATGTTTGGATCTTTCTGGATTTTTCGAGAAAGAGGTAACTTCTAATTTTAATTACTTACCATATTATGCAATGAAAAAATAAGAAAACCTAGACTTATATTTTATTTTGAATTATTTTAGGACATTTCTGAGAGGAAAATCAGATTTACATCAAATCTCTTACCAAAACAGTTGCTGGACAGAATTGAGAATACAGTGACACAAATGGGATTTCAAGTCCAGAAAAGACATGGAAGGGTTAGTATATAATGAAGTCTATATTTGCATGGGCTTTTTAATAATAATTATAACTGCTAGCCAAATATATACAAAATATACACTGATAATGTATAAAATATATATATTTTTCGTATATTAATATATAGAAGTATACATTTGCCGGCTATTATTTTGGAGGGCGATTATACCAGAAAATCTGTACATTGAATTAATTTTCATGTACTCTAATTATATTTTCAGACATACAACTGATAATACACATATGTCTTATGTTTTTTATTCACATATATTGCAGTTGAAAGTGTTGCAAGAGTGCAAAGGACAAAAATGCCCAACTACTCTCTCGGTAGTCGCACAGGTACGTAGGTGACATGTACTATACGTAGTACGTAGTTTAATTTCTGTACACTAACATTATAAAAAAATATTTAATAATTTTTTCTTGATGCACGATTTGCAGGTATTCGAGATTAGCCCGTCTTTGTATGTCGTAGAGATACAAAAGTCTTCGGGGGATTCTACAGTATATAGACAGGTATATATACTTCGACATCCTCGTGTACGTATACCTTGTTGAAACAAAGTTGTAATGCATTCAAATTAAACATATGAAACTAACTAGTTTTGTTTTTTAATGCAGTTGTGTAATAGGATATCGAGTGATTTGGGTGTACAACGGACTCGGGAGATCTTAATTTAGCTATTTATTTGTTGTGAAATTTAGAAACTTTAATGCTTTTGTTCTTTTAATTTCCTCCTCTTCTACATTTTTTTTGAAGAGTTGTGAGCAGTAACCACACAGTGCTGTAGTTTGGTTGTTTAAATGTTTACTTTGCGTGAGCAATTATTGGAAGAGTTTAAGTTATATAAGAGTCAGTACATAAGTAACTTTTCTATACTATCAAATCGTTTATAATCAACAGATAAGTTTCCTAATTAAAATGTGAGATTTATAATCCTGAAAATAATACAAGACTCGAGTTTGACAAATTTCCCTTCTCTTGCCAAAATAAAGAAATTGACATGGCAACATACAAAACAACATTGATAATTAATGTTTCAGAAATCAACATTACATTTTCTTTTCAAATTGTTTAAATAGATATAATTAATGCATCACATAAGATTTATCAATAAACTACAATAGCGACGTTGAGAAGTGAGTAATAGAAGTTGAAGTCAATGTAAACGACCGAAAACCTTAGCCACTACTTCCCATGTTCCATGTTCCATGTTCCTACCACTTTTTCATTTTCTCATTTACAATTTGGATATATATGATTAATAAAAATAAATCAAGAAAAGGCCCGTTATTCGTTTTGGGATCTCGAGTAATTCGAATTCACATTGCATAGCGTCCATTAAAGGGGAAAACACTTTTTATTCGAATGTTTGTTTATATATTCTCAAGGCTCGATCTCGAGAGCTCTTATTAAGATGGAGGGGTTCTATCCATCTCATTACGAACTGGTCAAACCATTATGAAGAAAGCGACAAGAAAAAGAAAATTCTTTGAATTTAATAATAAGGAAATCTCTTTAACTCTCAAACCATATCCAAGATATGACATACCTACCTAACATGAGAATTACCAAAATAAAGATAGTTGCATTATAGTTGAGATCATATCGTGAGAAGATCACGGAGAAAAAAATTCAAATCTATTTTGTTCAACTACAATAGGAAGATCAAGTGACATCTATATTTAGAAAATATTAAATTCATTTCTTTTAGATGCTTATATTGGGAGGCGCAACTGATCTCCTTCCTGTCCATTTTAATTGTCGTGGTTACTAAAAATACTTAATTCAAAATAGTTGTCATTTTAAAATTTAAGATAGAATTACTTATTTTTTCCACCTTAACCCTTACCCTAATAAATGTGGGGAGAAATTAATGTGGTGGAAGGAAGAGTAGTATTAAATTAAAATCAAAGAATAAATGAGGGTAATTTAGTTATATTATCGTTCTAATTCTTACCTTTCTTTATTTAAGTTAAAGGTGGAACATAATTGAAACAACTATCGTCTAGGAGTGACAAACGGGCGAGTCAGGTCGAATATGGCGGGTTAAAAACGGATAATGCAAAACGGATAAATTATTTGACCCGATCCATATTTAATACGGATAAAAACGGGTTAACCGTCGTATAATATGGATATCCATATTATCCATGGCTTCTTGAGTATGATCACTTTGGGGAGAATTCCTAGTCTCCCGAACATGAGGAACCCCTAATTTGAGACTTTACAAATATAAAAGTTAAACTCATTAGTTATCCATTTTTTATGTGGATAATATGGTTCTTATCTATGTTTGACCCGTTTTTAAAAAGTTCATTATCCAACCCATTTTTTAATGAATAATATGAGTGGATAACTGTCTTCTTTTAACCATTTTTTCACCCATAATTACGTCAAATTGTAATTAGGTTTAGTAACATCAGCTATTATAAGTAGAATATGGGGAACGATTAGAAAAAGTTACTCCAATCACATAGAAGAATTGAACTCAAAAATCTATAAATAGCTTTTTAGATTGTTGATGTGTTAGTCAATCTTGTCAATTGAATTAAACTTATTAAATTTATAAAAGTAACGTATTATGGTTCAGTGGATTGTTAATTACTTCTAACCCTTCACGATAAAAAAAATTATATTAGGCTAAACTTTTTACTAAATCCGTTTGGAGTGGATCCTTTAGGTCAATTGCAACCTTCGAAACTCAAAGGATAATGGATACGCACCTTTATCTTTCTGCTTAAATACTAAAGTCAGTTCGCTTGGCGTGGGACTCGAATCTATAACCTAAGACACAAATCCAACCTTTGCCAATTGAGCTAACCCCAAGGTTACAAAGATTTTGGGTTTATTGATAGATATAATAGAAACTTCTGTTGTGTTTGGTTTGAAGGAAAATATTTTCCTAAAAAATATTTTCTTGAAAAATGAGTGGCTTTATCACTTACTTTTCCTTGTTTGGTTGGTGAGTGAAAAGCCTTTCCGGAAAATATATTCTAGTGTTTATGTAGAGAGTAGAAATTTTTTTTTAAAAAAATAATTTTTTATGCTACTCTCCTCACCCCCTTCTCCCAAATCCCCATATTTTCTGTTTTTCAAAACATTTAAGCAAATCAAACATGGAAAAATTAAAAAATATTTTCCTTCGTACCAAACACACCCTTCATCAGCTTTTATTTTCTACCACCTAATAAACATAAAATAAATGTATGAGTTTGTAAAAGCTTAGAGGTCACGACAGCTTTCTATCTTTTGTAAATTCCTTTTCTTTACTTTGATGTTTGATAGAAACTGTATCATCTATTCTATTCGAGAAGTAGGAAGTTCCAATGTACAAAGTTGAATTTACCAAAATGTTCATCTCAAGTTGAACGACCATTTTATTATTCAATCACAACATTGATTTTACTATTCTTGTACAAATATGTAAATATACATTGTAAGTTTTACTTTGGACTAATATTCATTCAATTGTAAGTTACCTACCATTAGTAAATCAAAAGGCTCGCTAATTATTGACAGCGTGTACTTTTTTTTCTCAGCGTCGGAGCCACACTCAACCCGATATCCCTTCGTCGAAAAATTACTTAGTATTGCTAGATATTTTTTTTTTATTTATGTATATTTACTATACGTTGACCCCCTTAACTTTTCGATGTATCTAATCTATATATATATATTTATAATTGAGGGCCTTACGTCGGTTAAGTGGCATTCTCATTTAGGCACATTTGATTTTTCTAGGCTCTAGGCTTTTTCGTAATTTGAACCTGAAACTACACCACCGAAACGCTTCACACACCCAACTGCTTCTTCCCGCACTGCTTCTTTACATCACAAAAACCTACTTTACTCTCTCTCCCTCATACCTATCTCCATTTTCCCTGCTAAATTTCCCTCATAACTCTCACTTTATTAATTCCTACATCTAACCTTCTTTGAGCTATTCATTAATTTGGAAAACTGAAAAAAAAAATAGTTTGCTCACACTGCTACTCTCTATACTTTCCCACACCATATATATACTAACTTCGACGCCACTGAAGAAAATCATCCTCGCCCACGGCTTCAGAAAAAAATGGTATTCACTTCATAATAGCCGGTCTGTAATCTTTTCAAAATAATATTTATCATTTATGCCTTATTCTTATATATTTGACTCTTACAAACTTGTAAGAACCCTAATCTAATTATATAGGTATAGACAAACAAGGATGCCAAAACACAATCTTTTGAGGTACTTTCTTCACTATTATGTTTTTTCCCACAATTCATATTTATATTGTCAATATTCTGGGATACCATAATTCATTACCTAATCACTAAATAAGGATGTAAAGATTCTAAATCACTTTCAAAATTCAAATGTTCTTCACTATTATGTTTTTTCCCACAATTCATATTTATATTGTCAATATTCTGGGATACTATAATTTCTTACCTACTTATGCTGTCAATATTCTGGGATACCATAATTCATTACCTAATCACTAAATAAGGATGTAAAGATTCTAAATCACTTTCAAAATTCAAATGTTCTTCACTATTATGTTTTTTCCCACAATTCATATTTATATTGTCAATATTCTGGGATACCATAATTCATTACCTAATCACTAAATAAGGATGTAAAGATTCTAAATCACTTTCAAAATTCAAATGTTCTTCACTATTATGTTTTTTTCACAATTGATACTAACTGTGTCCCTGATATTCTGATACTTAATGTTTTATTACTGATAATTTTTCCCGAACAAAGTCCCACAAATATTCTGGAATACTATAATTTTTTCCCCAATCAATAACTAAGGAAAAAAAGAATAAGATTATACTATGTTAAATTTTTCATCATAGCCTCAGAAATTGATATTGGATAGTTGTTCAACTTCCTCCTTTGCTACTATTTTCCTCTCTAAACTTTCATGTGCTTGAAGCGGACATATGCATTAAACATAGCAGCAATATTGTAATGATCATGAAAATATATAGTTTTTCTCAGCAAAAATCGTATTGCCTTATTATTTTCATTTGATTGAATATAGATTGATGCTATATTAGCGCTATTATATTTTCCTTCTCTACTCTTTTGTATTATGCTTGAAGATCCACATATAATGCATTTAATACATTAGTTGTAGCCTAATGATCAGAAAAATACAAAAAAAATATAACTTTTTACCCCTACAACCCGTCTGCTTAATGAACCCCAAATATGTCGTTTGCCCAATAAAGCTCAACTCTATATGTTTGGTTGTCCCTATGAAAGCCCACATTGCACCAAATTTTGAAAATACTTATTGTTTTTCCTCTACCAGGAAACTTTAATACATGCTACAATAATAAAGAATTTAGTTAATAAGTACAAGAATTTGCGGGTGAAGATTCGTCTATGTTATTAAGAACTTCAAAGTTATTGAGACTGCTGGTGAATTTAGACCAATGACAAGTACTTTTAAAATTTCTTTCTTTTTTCCTGACAACTGTGCTCCAGAAACAACGAGAAGATATTAACAATACTCCTATAAACAAATATCAATTTATAAAACCAGAAATGATCAACTCAAGGTTGAACAAACACCGTGTTATCAGGTATACTGATTACGATCAATTTTTGCTGCTACATTTTTTGTTATATTAATGTAATTATGAAATAACTATTTCTTTCATTTGATATTGTAGAGTGTTGGATGCGAGTGGAGAAAAAAGGAACATCCAAGTTGTTACTGATTAGCAAGCCACTTATCTCATTTGAAGTATCTTTAGTTTGTTAACTTCCTAAAACCGGATTAATTTTGTGTACTTTTATTTTGTTATCCAAGTTGTTTATGAATATATCTTTACATTACATTTTTGATCAATCATATGGATTTTTACTCAATTCAAAATTTTCTGGTAGAGGAAAAATAGTGAGTGTTTTCAAAATTAATAATTACAAATTGCATATTGAAAAAGAACAAGACACATGTATTACCTCTTCATCTATAAGGACCATGTTATACAATGACTCTGATCCGTACATTATGATAGTAACTTCTATAACAGTAAAACAATTCCGTGGTAATTGTTTTATGTTTTATGTTTATTGCTATGTAATTTACTACTAATATTATGAAGATATATTAAAGTTGGTTTTTAAATTGCATTCACTGTTAACAGGTGAGGTTACTTTCATTACCCACATTTGCAAGCAAAATTTATGTAAATCTTGAAATAGATTACAACAACTTTGATTCAAAAGTTTAGTACCATGTTTTTTGGGGTACAAACTATCGGCAGCTCCAATGTCAATAGCATTTCCATTGAGGAAGAGATATTTCTGAACATGATGAACATTACTGAGTTGTTGGAGTCTGACTGGAATGCCGAAAATATATGTTAGTATTTTCCTATTTCTGCTTCTTCGCTTTTAAAAACACAATTCTTCAAGATGCTTCTACTAAATAGAGTTTTTTAATGTTAGAAATACATTGTTATAGCGAGGGGTAACATTACCGAAATAGACAACTATTTTGATTGGTAGTTATTTCATGCAACTCATGTTCCAAGAAGATTGTATCCGCAAACGATGTTTATACATGCCATATTTGCTCTAAAGAATGCAAGTTTCCTTTGTTGAAGTAAGGAAGCAACTAATAATGTAATGATTTATATTCTCATTTATTCTAACTGATTGTACAACTATAGTTACTAAATACACATAAATATAAGAGACAAAACTGGGGAGACTACTATGATTTTATTTAATGTTGTTGTGGAGAAGCTTCTTGATATATCCGCTCACAAGTTGTTCAATAGGTTGTCGTAGGATAGCAATAATGTACCACCACAAATTCAAAGCCTTTGCGACAAAGAATTTGTTTTCAAGCTAAGATTAAACAATTTTTATCTTAAAGAGGGGCTTGAAAATTATACGGTATCAAAGTTGTTGATTCCGGATGAGAAATCTGGAATTGCAATATATAAAAAGGAAAGAACAAAAGGTATTGTGATATAGATTGTTTCAAATGGTAATCCAGATTTAGGTATACACTGTAAATATGCTTTGTTTTTATTGCTTCTGCAGGGGAAAAGCAAAGTACAGGATAACATTGAAATATAAGGACTTATTGAAGGGAAGGCAATTTTCTATAGTGTTTTATTTAGCAAACTTCCTACTACTAACAAAATTAATATATTCAAAAGATATGTAAATAATATTTCTTCTGGAAACTATTTAGGAACCTACTAATGTCTCTTTGGACAACTTTGAAGACTCTCAGGAAGATCTACATGTCAATGATGGTGTTAACTATAGGAAGAAAAAAACTTAATCAAGAAAGATTAGGAAGGGAAGGAACCTAATCATACATGACGATGAAGTTAGCGATCAAAACACAAAAAAAGAAGAAGAAAAAAGTAGAGTGTTTATCTGTTGGTTTTGGAACTTTTAATGTTGTGTAACGTTAAACAAAATAATTGTGTCCCTTTGTGCTTTTCAGTATATAGACAGTAGATGTTGTGTTGATATAGAAATTGCTCTACTCTTGTGCTGATTTTTTTTGTATTTACTGTAATGAATTGGAAGAATTCACAGAAAGTATAATTGGTATACAATTATCGAATAGGTTCATTGATTAATTACTCAAGTTCTAACACAATTCTTATCTTTTAGTTTGTTTTCATGTGTGATCCTACTTCTAAAAGAACTTATATTCAAATTAATTTTTACATGTCCAATGGCTGACACGAGTCTCTGTATTTTGATTAGATTGTATGATAATGTAGTGAAAGGAGTGAGAATTAATGACGTCATTCATGAAAAATTACCTAGTTTTTTATATTTTGACACCCCTTAGTGAAAATTCTGGCTCAGCCACTATTTTTCCTTGGTATTGAAGTTGTATATTACAGCTTCTAACACTAATTGTAGACTTGAGTAAATTATCATTATCATCATTATCAAACCCACAATTTTAAAATATAAAGAAGCACAATTCTATTAATTTTAAAGCAAATAGGCTTAGCCAGAAATACAATTATCCTCTGTTTCTATGCTACCTATCACAATCTCACCTGCATAATATTGACGACATTCAAAGTTAAGTTACTCACACTTGGTTATGTGATAGTAAAATACAGGGGAAATACAGGGGTAGTAATATAGACAACATTCAATACGTTTATGGCAATCTGTTTTCTCTCCTGAATGCATGAGTTACAGCATAGAACAAGAAAATATGCGCGCAAATAAGCTCTCCTGCTTGCCCCGATGCAAAGGTAGATACTCAAAGTAAGCTAGGGTCGGCTATATGAATTCAAACTGTCAATGTCGCTCCATTTAAACCCATCTCAGATTCTGAAATCCAATCAACAACAACAACAACAACAACAACAACAACAACAACCCAGTATAATCCCAACTAGTGAGGTCTGGGGAGGGTAGTGTATACGCAGACCTTACCCCTACCCTGGAGTAGAAAGGCTATTTCCGATAGACCCTCGGCTCCCCACCTTGCTCTTGGGATGACTCGAACTCACAATCTCTTGGTTGGAAGTGGAGGGTGCTTACCACTAGAGCAACCCACTCTTGTCTAAAGATTCTGAAATCCAATCATTATTTATTAATCTTTACCCTATTTCTCCACCTTCCAAATACAGAGGAGGGGCTAAGCAGCAATCAAGATGGAGGAGCTTCCACTGCTTTTATAAGGGGTTGGACCACAAGTCATTCTTGAACTTGAACCGGCAGAACTATCATATCTCGAGTCCACTATTCATCTCAACTTCACCTAGAGCATGAGTCTCCTAATTCTAATATAATCACATATACAACTTGACAAAGTCAATTACTACAATGACGTGACTAGTTAAATAAAGACACTCCATAGGGATGAATAAAGGGGAGTCTTGTGACTGGTAAAGCTGCTTCCATGTGATCAGGAGGTCACAAGTTCGAGCAGTGGAAACAGCCTCTTGCAGAAATGCAGGGTAAAGTTGCATATAATAGACCCTTGTGGTCCGGCCCTTCTCAGGACCCCGCACACAGCGGGAGCTTAGTGCACCGGACATAGGGATGAATAGCTGCTCCACGGGCCGCAAGCTTTGAATTAAAGTTGCTCTAACAAACATCATATAAGGAATGATATTTCATAGGAAGTGAATTTAAGGTTAACTTTGTACATACAATAGCAGATCTTGGTGAAAGATGTCGACGATGTTTTTCCTTTTGGGGTAAAGTAAAACAGATATGCGCACATCTTCC